CTGACATGGCAGGACCTGACCCTGTGACATTGCAGGATCCGACCCCATGACATGGCCAGACCCCCCCCCACCACAGTGCCTCTCTCCAAGCCCTGTGCTCACCCCCGCAAACTGCCAGGCCCTGCAGCCCCGCACAGGGAGCTCCCAGCATCCAGCTCTCCTGCGGCCGACCACGAAGAATTCACTGTTTTTCTTTGAGATGCCAGGAGCTGCTCTGGCCTGGGAAAGCGCCCGGCCGCACACCTTGTCACGCAGCCAGAGAAAGTCCCATGTCCTTGGAGAACCTGCCTTCCGCAGCCCCTGCCAGGGCTGGGCGAGCTGGCCCGTGTGGAGCAGGGTCCGCTGTGGCTATCTGGCTCCTGGCTCCGCGGCAGTCGGTCCCCAGGAGTCAGCTGCTTCCAAGGACCTGGCAGGGTCTGGGTTTTCCCCCTTGAAGGCTCCCCGAGCAGCCTCCCACCCATCCGGCAGCACCCAGGCCGGCTCTGGCTCTTGCAGCAGGGAGTTTCCCAAGCCGCTGCCGTTCCCATGGTCCTCGCTGCCTTTGTGCAGGGTCTGCAGGCTCCTTTCTCAGCTCCATTTCGCGCTTGATGCAAGGGCCTTGCTGTCGCCTCTTGCCTCTCACCCCACCCAGCGCGTGCCCAAGGGTCCTCTTGCTTTCCCTGACTGCGTGGTCTTCCCTGAGCTGCCCAGCGGGTCACCGCAGCCGGGTGACTGGTGTCTCCCCAGCCCATGCATCATAGACCAACTGCCCATCTGTGTCACAGCGCTGACGCCAAAACCACTGCCTCCTTGCTCCCAGGCCACCTGACTGTTGCAATTAGCCCCAGGCTTTCCCATCCCGGGGACGCCCGCTTCATCTCAGCCATATCACCTTGCTGCTCTCCATCTCCTCTTCCTCCTGCCCCAGCAGCACCAGAGACCCCAGCCCCTGCGAGGTGGATGCCGTTTGCCTGGCTGAACCCACCCTGCTTCAGCTCAGCGTCGACATGCAGGGAGCCAGGCAGGGTGCGAGGCTCTCCTGACCTGGTGTGACACTGCCAGGCTCTTCCCGGCTCCCCAGGACAGCCAGACCCCTCCAACCACCCTGACCAGTGGATCCTGGTTCCCGGGAGCAGAGATGTCCAGGAGAGCTGGCAGCTCACCGTCCCTGCAGGACTGGAGCAATGCTGCTGTGACCCGGCACGGGTGCCCTTGCCCGGTTTGAGCAGTCGGGGTCCCGCACGGCTCGCCAGACGGCTGCTCGGCGCCCTACGGCAGAGCCGGCTCCCAGCTCGGCCCAGCCAGCGTGGGGGTGCACAGCACTTAGAGGGAATCAAATATTAAATAGGGCACATTTAGCGCTAGCGTAGCTGAAACCAAGCCGAACCTCATGAGCTCTGGCTTCTGGCTGCATCACAGAATGAAACAGAGCCACTTACGGGAAGAAATTCATGTGCGGGTCAGCGGCCCCCCAGCTCCTCAGTTGTCTTCTCGCCCCATCCAGGACCGCCCTTGCACAATGATGCGCGCGACAGCCAGGCCCTGCGGAAGAGAGACCCTGAGCCCGTGGGTCAGCCCGGATGGTGCCGTTCCCAGACATGCCCCCGCTGGCTCTGCGGTTCCTGTGCACTTCCAAAGCTGCTGAAAACGCCTGGGTTTGGGGTACTGAAATGCAGCTGGACCACAAGTAAATGAAAGGGGCATTGCTGCTGTGTCAAAGGCCCAGAGGAGAGGCGCCATCTCCTAAATGGGTTATTAGAGACATACTAAATACGCTTGCAGAATTGGCGTGGGCTCGCTCGGCCGCTAATGGGCTTTCTGGCACTGT